TCAAGAATAACCTCTGGAATAAACTGCAAATAGTGGTAAGTACTGAAGAAAAGACAACATTTAACCACCTAAACCGTCCTGCAGTGACCTAGCCCTAATTTTACCTCAGTCGATCAGTAACAGCTGACATTTATATGGCACTTCACTAGTTATAAGTATCTTGTAGGTACATAATCATATTTTTAGGTTCATGATCTGAGAAAATCCAAAAGGGTAACTTCCCACTGGAAATCCTCATTGTGGACTTGGACAATAAAATAACGAAGATGAGACTTTATCACAGGAACTGAGTGACTGGAAGGGCCACGGGGACATGGCAGTAGCGCCTGGCACGGCAGCACCTACATATTCATCCTCTGCAAAACTGCCCAACACGCAGAGCTTCCTCACCCTTCCTGGCTTTTCTCTCTTCTACCTCTGGGCCTCTCTCCCCTCAGCCTGTTAAATGGCCAACTTGCCATCCCTCCCCTCCTCAGCTTTAGCATTCAGTTCTTATTGCTGCATCTCCCTGCTTTCCAGAGCTCCTCATTACACAGGAGCAACATCTAAGCAAGGCCCATCACTCCCCAGACCACGTGGCCCCTTTGGTTGCCTCGGCTTCACTGTCCAGCGTCCTCTACCTCACCCTCCTTGCTCTGAGAACACTGCTTACAGCAGGCAGCTCCATGCACAAACCACAGATGCGTTTTCTCACCTCGTACCTCCGCCCAGAGCACCTTCCTATCTGGAACAAAAGTCGGCACACTTTTGCTGTCAAGGGCCAGATAGTAAGTATTTGAGGTTTTGCAGGCCACACAGTCTCCGTTGCAACAACTCAACGCACAAAAGCAGCCACAAACAATTCAGAAACAAATGAGCATGGCAGTATTCCAACACACCTCAATTTATAGAAACTGGAGTTGGAATTTCATATTGTTGTCATGTGGTGTAAAATATTCTTGATTTTTTTTTTCAATTATTCAAAAATGTAAAAACTATTGTTAGCTTGTGGGCTGTATAAAAGCAGGCAGTGGGCTGGATGTGGCCCAGGGGATGTAGTTTGCCAGCCCCGGGCCTAGACTATTACTAGTCTTTCGCAGCCTGGTCACATGTCACTTTATTTGGTAAACTTCCCTGAGTGTTGAGCATTCTAAGCAAAAGGTCCCCTGTCTAGGCTCTGATGGTGTTACGGGATCTTTGGGGTGTTGCTTTTCTTGCTGGAAACCTGTGGCTGGTGGTGTCTTTGCCCGAGTTTTGCTTTGGGCCTGCTGGGCTTGTTCCGCCCACTTGGCCATGTAGGCTGTGCTCAGCTCATACTACCGGCCTGGATCCCACACCTCCCAGGGAGACTGTGAGTCAGGCATGGAGCGGCGAGGGCTGTGTGAGCAAGTGAGGGGTCCAGCCACTGTGCAGTCAGACACACTGGCTGTTGCTATGATGCGGGCAGCTCCAGGTGCCAGCATGGGTGCCAGCTCTCTGCAAGGCTGCAGCTGGACCAGGCACACCACAAGCAGCTTCCCCTGCTGGCACTGGGAATTGCAATGGTGCCCAGAAGCTTGGAGATACCAGGAACCAAAGAGAGAGTCACAGCCCTGGCTCGGGCAGCTCCCAGGTCTGGGCCCCCTGAAGGGCTACAGCTCTTCTCCCCTTCTCTTCACTTGCAACGTGGTGAGCAAGGGGCATGTTTCAACTCTGTTTGTGTTACAGTTCTTTTAGCCCTGCCATTTGATGGGTCCTGAGTTCTTGTCCTGCAACAAGGAAGAATGAGTTATGTAGAAAAGTGGAGGGTAAGCAAGACAAAGAGGAGTTTTGTTGAGCAATACAACAGCTTAGAAGGGACCTGCAGGGGTTAGGTCCTTTCTACAGCCAGGGCATCCCGATGAGTGTTCAGATGCTAGCACAGAGGAGACCCTGGAGTGAGAAGCTCCGCTCTGCAGGCAGGTCATCCCATCATCTCTGCAGCTGTCAGCAGAGAGGTGGCACTGAACTGGGTCATTCCTCTCTACATGCAGGTCATCCCATCATCTTCCCAGCTCTCAGCATACAGGAGGTCCTGGGTGGGTAGCTCCTCTTTGCAGCTGGTCATCCCAATGTCTGCTCAGCTTTGGCAGAGCCTGGGGCTTTTATAAGCCACAGAGGGGAAGAAGTGAGTGCCAACTGGCCCATGGCCATGGGTGGGCCTGGAAAATGAACCACATGTTCCCATTCCAGTCGGCAGGACTGGCAGCCCACCTCGCAGCCTTCAGGCCCTCCCTGATGTGAAGGTAGGACCCCTTCTGCCCAGGAACCTGTCTGCCTCCTGCTGATGTTTATGGTGCCCAGGCTGTAGGTGCCAAGCGGCACCTGTAGGCCAGCGCAGAGCTGTCCTCAGCGCCCCCTTGGCTTCACACCTATGCTCATTGGCACCCAAAGTCCAGAGAGGGCCAAGGTGGAAGGGGCCTGGTGTCAGCACTGCCCTAAGCGTGTGCACACCCAGCCAGGCTCTAACAGCACTGGACTCAGCCCTGACTTTGCTCCATGATCAGGGCAGGTGCTGACAACAGGGAGAAACTAGGCAGCAGGAGCAGGCACTTCTGAGCCTGTGAGGGCAGGGGTGGCCTTCCCAGGCCTCCAAGAGCACAGAAATGTCTAGGTCTGCAGTTTGCTTTGGGTGGCGGCAGCTGTGCCTGGGAGGGTGGGGTTTCTGCCTGCTCCTGGCCCCTCCAAGAGCAACGGGATGCCCGGGCCCACAGTCGTGGCTTGGGTGGCTGCAGCGGCACCCAGGGAGCTCCTGTCCCAACTTGAAGCGGGCGGGGCACCCGCTTGTCCCCAGTTCCCACTGGCTCCATGGAGTGTGCATACCTGGTTGCACCTCCCTTCTGCAACCAGCATGATGGCAGTGGCTGCTCCAGAAGGCTGGCCCCTGCCATCAATGGCACCCAATTCATACTTTTCAGCTCTTTCCATTAGATACTGATAATCTGCTTACACTTCTGACTGTCTACCAGCAACTGAGGCCCTTATGGGCAGGGCTGGTGATGCAGGCCTGGCCTGCTTCTCCCAGCAGCCACTGAGTGGAATTGGGCACTCTGGGATGGTGTCTGAGCCATCTTCCCTGGTTCACCTGGGGACCTAGAGGACAACAGGTCACTGAGCATGAAAAAGGAGTGTGTGGGCCACAGTGGGGGCCAGACCCAGTTACCTGGTCTGGAGAGAAGGAGGCAGTCATTATGGAAAACATGTACCATGGTCTGAATGAGTGTGTCTCCCCAAAATTCACGTTGGAATCTAATCCCCGAGGTGATGGCGTTAGGAGATGGGGCCTTTGGGAGGATTAGAGGCCCCAGAGAGCTACCCTGCCCCTTCTACCATGCCGGGAACGGTGAGAAGTCACCGTCCATGAATTAGAAAGTAGGCCCTCACCAGACACAGAAGTTTCCAGCACTTTGATCTTGGACTTCCCAGCTTCTGGAACTGTGAGAAATAAATTTCTGTTGTTTATAAGCCATCCAATCTATGGCATTACAGCATAAGAGCCTGAAGGCATTAAGATGGCATAAAATGATGCTTGAAACATGAAAACTCCCAGAAGGAGAGTAGGTCCTCCAAGGGGGGAGGGGCATGTGAAGAGGAGGGCATTTCCCTGCTGTAGGTGTCTTCTAAGGCTTGGAGGCGGTTTCCTGCCTCAGAATAACCACCACTACCCCAAACCCATAGGCTCAGAATTTCCCACAGTGCCTGGGGATCTGCATTTTAAGTAGGTACACCAGGTGATTCTTCTATAAATCACAGCTTGAGAATGACCCTGCCCTGCTTGAGCTCAGACTATTTGGCGGTCTCTGAAGATTAATTCAGGCTGCATCAAAGTTAGGGACATTGGGGTAATTGCCTGTCCAGCACCCATATAGCTCTAGCAGGAAGCACAGATATCCCAAGGACTCCCAGGGGTCCAAGACAACACTGGCCACCATATGGGCATCCACAGAGCAGTAGAACACAATGCATCCACGAAGGTGAGCTCAGCAATGGCGGGCAGGGCTGAAGCAGCAGCAAGACATTGGTGGAGAACAAGATATGGGGAATGTGAGGAGTAGGGATGGCAGTGGGGTAGACACTAAGCCAGCAGATATAGGACAGGCCTAGCTCATTAATCAAGCCACCTGGAAAGGTCAGACACACAGACTGCAGTCAGCCTCTCTGGTTTGAGTCCTAGCTCCACTTCTTACTAGCTGGGTGGGTGACCTTGGACAGGTTATTTCATCTCTCTTTGCCTTAGTGCCTCATCAGTAAAATAGCAACAATAACAGTTCCTACCCATGGATTGTTGTAGGATAAAATGGGTTAACACATGTGAATATATCAGAACAGTATCTGAGATGCAGCTGGCATCATGCTGCCATTGTTGTCATTGTTATTACCATCAAGAATCCACAGCCAGTAGGACCGAAAAAGCATTTATGCTACCAAATTAGTGTTTGGTAAACAGTTGTTCAACTGCACTGAACTATGCCAAGCTGCAACCTGGCTCTCTCCTTGCCTAGCATGTACCAGGCTCCAAAACTAACTCTACCTTCCTCTTGGGGTCTCGACTCTTCACAGAGAAAAATGACTGACTTCAGGTAGGCTTAGGAACCAATATGGATGAAATGCAGCTTCTAGAATTGTACTACCCTGACTTTGCCATTTAGAGTATTGTCAAAGTGTTTAAACTCTATAAGACTTCCTTTTCTTATCTGTAAACATGGCAATAACCTCCAGCATACGGTTTTTGTGAAAATTTAAATAAATGATATTCTTTTTAAGTTAATGATCTGTTCTTCTCAAAAAGAAAAGCAATCTAGCTAGGGTTATTTATATGGTAATGAACTTAATCTGGTTGAAGTGCCAGTATTTTTATAACATTGAAAAAAGCAGAAAGCAAATCTATTTAAATCATATATATTACATTTCTAATTGGTGGGATAAGATCACAGAGTCCCCTCTTTTGCCTTTTGTCTACTGTTAACCCACCACTCCAAAACGCACAACAGGAGAACAGATTGTCTGGATATACTGTGTTTATTTTAGCTGTTCCTATGGAATAAATTCCTTCTGAATTTAGTGGCTTAAAACAACGATAAACATTTATTTTCTTACATCATTTCTATGGATCAGGAAATTGGGAGCAGCTTAACTGAGTGGTTCTGGTTCAGGATGTCTCAGGAAGCTGTAGTCAAAAGTCATCTAGGGCTGCAGCCATCTGAAGGCCTAATTAGAGGTGGAAGATTTGATTCCAAGATGGTGCACTCACGTGGCTGGCAAGTCGGTGCTGGCTGTTGGAAGAAGACCTCATTTCCTCATCATGTGGCCCTCTCTGCAGGGCTTCTTGAGTGTTCTTACAATATGGCAACTGGCTTTCCCAAGAGCAAGTAATCCAAAAGAAAGCAAGGGAAGCTGCAATGACTTTAGTGACCAGTCTCAAAAATCACACTCTCTCATTTCACAGTGTCCTATTGGCTGCACAAGTCAGCCTTATTCAAAGTGGGAGGAGATGACACAGGGTGGAATATCAGCAACAGAATCATTGGGGGCCATCTTGTAGGCTGGCCACCACATTTACAAAGGACTTAAAGGCTGTTTTCTCAAGAACTAGATTAAATCAACTTTTAAAATATGCTGTTTTACTTTAAAACTCCCTTGGTCAAGACTTCACCAAGATCCTTGAGTTTAAACAAATGCTGGAAATAGGAAGTTAATTCCCAAGGCCATATTTTGCTTATTCTTGACTGGGTATGGTATGAGTGGGTGGATTCTTCAGGGGGAGTACATCAAGCAGTAAGACATGGCATTTCTCACCCTGAAACAAATAGTTTAGTGTCTTCTCAAACTTTGTATTGCTGGCACATGTGTGCTAAAAGAAAAACCTTAGACAAATTAAATTTAACACGGTTTAATTGAACAAAGAATGATTTGCAAATTGGGCAGCCTCCCAAGCCAGAGTAGGCTCAGAGACTCCAACGCAGCCACCTGGTGGAAAAGTTATAGTAAGAAAAAGAAAAGTGATACACAGAAAACAGAAGTGAGGTATAGACACAGCTGGGTTGGTTATATCTTGGCATTTACCTTATTTGAACATGGTTTGAACAGTTGGCCCTCTTTGATTGGCCAAAACTCAATGATTGGCACAGACAAAGGTTACAGTCTGTTTATACCTCCATTTAATTTATAGTTCACCATATAGGGAGAAACCTTTAGGCTAAATTTAAAATATGTAAGGAGGCAGCTTTAGGCTAAACTTGATTTAACATGTGTGTATGGTAGATATCAGAGTATTTTGCAACAATATCCATGTTCTCTTCTTCCTGAGATAGGTCCTTGGGACTAATTCTTACCAATGGGATGTAGGCAGAAATTATGTATGTCATCTTCAGACTGAGGCGGTTGAGTGGAATGCGATTTATCCATTCTCCCTCTCTTTTGTCACCTGTTGATAGGATGCAAAGCATTGGTAGAGGAAACCATGGCACTAGAAGATGATAGAGCAACCAGTTTGAAAGAGCCTGGATCCCTGAATTAATGTACGGAGCAGAGCTCTCTCTCTGCCTCCTGAGAGATCCATGTTGAATGATGATGAGAGTGAGAAATAAACCTTCATCATACGAAGCCACTGAAATGGGTTTTTGTTACTGCAGCAAGTATTACTTGCTGTGACTAATGCCAAGTATAAATCATATTTAAATCTTTGCCATCCTGGGATTCAATTTAATTATTACAAAACTAAATTCATGTTTACTTTAATATTCATGTTTTCTCATAGAAGATACCATTTTTTAAATAATAAGAGTGCCAAGCCCCAGAACATAGCTGTAAGGTGAAAATGTATAATGTCATAACTTATTACATGACATCTGGGTCAAGAGAATAGAGGAGATGGTGGGGTTTAAAAATAAAAAGTAAATAAGGGTTATAAAAAATGCAATACTATATAAAAATTGATCCAATGTATTCAAAAATTAAAGACTCTCTATCTCTTAATAAATACCAAAGCACCACAAGATTCTTTATATACACCAAGGACTAGGCCAGTAGAAAAAACAAACAACTTTAACCTTATAATTCTAGAATGAAGGATCATCTCTAGAGTCCTCAGTAGGGCACTTATAAACAGTTCCTAAAATCTTCTCGGCACAATCAAGGGCTGTTTCTCGATCTCTTTGTATAAAAAACTAGATGGCATTCTTTTTTTTGTAATTTAGACTCTATTAGTCTGTTCTCAGGCTGCTAATAAAGACATACCCAAGACTGGGTAATTTATAAAGGAAAGAAGTTTAATTGACTCACAATTCCACCTGGCTGGGGAGGCCTCACAATCATGGCAGAGGAAGAAGGGGAACCAAGCCACATTTTACGTGAAGGCAGGCAAGAGAGCGGGTGGAGGGGAACTGCCCTTCATAAAACCATCAGATCTCGTGAGACTTACTCAGTATCACGAGAATAGCACGGAAAAGGCCCACCCTCCCAATTCAATTACCTCCTATGGGGTCCCTCCCACTACATGTGGGAATTATGGGAGCTACAATACAAGACGAGATTTGGGTGGAGACACAGCCAAACCATATCAGACTTTATTCATTTTGGTTCTTCCCTTGAAGAAACTGAGTCCCATAAGGAAATGGAGGAAAAGAAAACATGGCCAGCAGTGCCGACTCTCACCCCATTCACTTCCCGCCCTCAAGGGTGTGCTGCCCTTTCCTTAGCACCACCCAATCCAGGGCCATCACCATCGCAGAGGGGCCTCTTTGTGTTCCCTGAGTTCTCAAACTCAAGCGTTTCTTGGGGCAGCAGCGGGGGGCCTGCGCCATGGAACTCCCGGCTCCCATGAGGGCTTCGGAGCCTGCTGGCTCTTCCGGCTTTGAGCGTCCGCACGAGAAGCCCCCTGCTGGCCACATTCGTGGCGTGGGGACCCCGGGCTAAATAAATTTCATTTCTCTCTTCTCCCTCCTAAGTGTCTCCACTACTTTCCTTTGTTGGCTCTGGACTTGTTCCAAATGCAGCCCTACTAAACGTTCGGGGGGCCTGAGGGTTTCTGGCTTTAAGGGCTGCAGTGGGGCAGGGGGGTTAGAGGGGCCGGGGCTGTGCTGGAAGATGGCGTGTGTTAAGTGATCGTGGACACAGTGGTATTTACAGCCTCACTAACGTGCCTTGTCTTGCTTCCTTAGCCTCTGACTGTGAATAAAACAGTTCTATTTTTTTTTTCAGACAAATGACAAAGCTGGGTGAAGAAAGTAATCATTTACTTTGTGTCTTGGAACATGACATTTCTTTTCTAACATCTTTCCGAAAGCTGGAGTTCCCTAATGCCCTGCTAAAGAAAATGAGTGACATCTTTCAGAGGGCGAGGAAATGTATGCGCTGTGAAACAATTTCCAGGACGTTGGAGATGAGTAATTTCTCTATCAGTATGTGTACAAAAGAAAAGGGACCCAGGGCGCTGATGTAACTGTACGAAAAATAAAGAAATGTGTGGCAAAGGAATAGTAAAAATACTTGAACTGAAAACAAAGAGAAGTAATCATTTTTTATAGTTTGGCTCTAGTTACTGAACAGTTGATTTAGATGACTAAGTCTAACACATCTGTATTTACATGATCTGGAAGACATAAATTACTAACACGTAGAAAAATTTTGGAGAGAGGAAGTAAACTACAGCTTAAGTATCTGATGAAGTTATCCAGCAAGACTCATTTTTTCTTCTCTGCTGAAGTCTTGATTACATCTAGCATGACTGTGCCATCTAGTGGTTTCACAGTCACTGCCTCAAGTTGGAGGATACAGTTCGCAAAATTGCTTTGAATATCCCGTGAACTCTTGGGTTGGTGCAAAGTTAATTGCTGTTTTTCCCATTAAAACAGCAATTTATTTTGCACAAATTTGGCCCAATAAGAAAGAGATTGAAAGAGTATTTCCACGGCACCCACACGCAGCTAATTCTGAATTACTTAAGCCAATCATGGCATGAAAGGTCATGAACTTCACACAAATGCCTAAATTCAAACCACTGATTTCATCATCTAAAAGCATCTACTCGGTGTCAAAATGTGTATTGTGGCTGTATATCAAAGACACCATCAGAGTCTGTGGGCTTTGTCACTGTCCCCAGATGTTTATCTGCATCTGCAGGTAGAGAGCTGCAGGCTTCTCTTTCCTTTGTTTACAAGGTGCTAAGACATAGTGAGAATATCTGTAGCAACTAATAAGGATAGAGAAGAACCTCCAAACTCAATAGTCATCCATCAAACAGCCAAAGGCTGATGTTCTTCACACAATAACGTTAACTTCCCCATATTTCTTGCTCTGAAACATTGGGGATCTTTGATCATTTTAGCTCCAAAGTTGGAGCCCAGCCACATCAGCTTGTGCTGTGTCTTCCTCTACCTGGAATTTCCTCCTCTCTCATCTGCATTCTGGAGGCCACCAGTGCCCACCTAAGGTTGTTCCCAGCTCGTAAATGTCCCCAGTTCTGTGCAATTCCCTGCTAAGCCACTCACGTTCTCAACTGCGGGTACCTCAACGCTAACCACAGTACAAGAGCCACAAGAAACTCGGGGAAGAAAAATAAGAAAACAACCTCCAGATCTCCAGGCAATAAATAGTGATAGTTTACGTTACAAGTTGTTTTGAATAACTGTACACTTCATGTAGATCTATAAAAACGTGAAGGTACAGAGTGGTAAAACAGCTAGGCTAAGAGGGGAGCAAGGTGGGGCCAGAACCCTCTATAAACTTTGGAAATGTTAGAAAAATGGATATGTGTCATAATTTTTAAAACATAACTCTACTTTTAAAACTAGAGTATTCCGAATCATTGACAGGATTTTAATTGAGATATAATTTACATAACATAAAATTCACCATTTAAAAGAGTACAGCTGAGTGATTTTTAGTATATTCACAAAGTTGTGTAACCATCACCTCAAACTGAGTTTAGGACGTTTTCATTCCTCCTAAAATAAACCCGTATCCACAGCAATCACTCCAGATGCCCCCTTCCTGCTCCAGCCCTTGGAAATCACAAACATACTCTCTATCTCTATGGATTTGCCTATTCTGGACATTTTACGCAAATGGAATCATACAATGTATGGCCTTGGGTGTCTGGCTTCTTTCACTCAGCATGTTTCCAAAGCTCATCCATCTTGTAGCATCACAGTACTTTCTTTCTTTTTATGGCTGAATGATATTCCGTTGTATGGGTATACCAAACTTTACACATTCATCAATTGATGGACATGTGTTTTTTCTACTTTTACTATTATGAATAATCCTGCTATGAACATTCTTACACAAGTTTTTGTACATGATTTTTTTCAGTTTTTGAACATGAATATTCTCAAAATACTCTTGGGTATATATATCTAGGAGTGGAATTTCTGGTTTACATGGCAATTCCATGATAAGAATTCTATGTGACAATTCTTTTATTCTGAAAAACTGTCCAGTTGTTTTAGGCAGCATCTGCACCATTTTACAATCCCACCAGCAATGCGTGAGGGCTCTAATTTCTCTATTTTCTTGCCAACGCTTGTTATTTTCTGTACTTTAAAAATATATTACTATTATAGCCATCTTAGTAGATATAAAGTGGTCAATGGTTTTATTTTAAAGAGCAAATATTAATGCAAATACAGACTAGAAAACAAATCAATGCTCTTTGGAGATTGAAAAGACCTCATCATAATAAAGTCAATTACATACTTCTACCTCACTTAGCACAGAGGAGAATAATTACACAGCCTGTTCAGATACAGACTTTGCTACTAGGGCGTTTGTAGGATGAGAGAGTGAGTCAGAACTGTCTTCGTTCATCCCACTGATGCAAGAAGGTTCTCTACAATTTATCTGACAGTTAATCATTTCATTCATTTCATCCAGTGGCAGGAAATTCTTTTCTTACCATTTTATTTACAATGTCTAGAATGCCGTTCTTGACATTTTCAGTTTGTCATCTTATAACTTCCTGTAAATTTTTAAACCGAGTGACAAATTTTAAAGTATACCAAGCCACCTACCATGTCCTCGGCCTCAATACTTCTTTCCACGAAGCCACCTTCACATATTAACCTTTTCTATAAAGCCATAGTTTCCATTCCTATACCATCTCTGATACTTTCCTCTAGATATTACAATGTGTCAATATCCTTCTAAGCAGCTATCCCTCAAATATGAACAAAATGTGCTCTGGCCAGTGGGGAATGCTATGAGACCTTTATTGGTTGTAGTACTATGTTTCTCTTAATAATACAGTGCAAGTCTGCAGGACTTTTTGCAACTATGTAAGATAGCTCAAATAGTGCTTCCACCAAATCTGCTAAAATCCTCAAGACTTTTTCAAATGACCTGCTGTTACCCTGCTGCTCTTGGGTAGTTGGTTTTTGAAGTGTATATTTCTCCATATTAAATCTCATTTTAAAAATTTTAGTCTATAATTCCAGCTTGTTATAATCTTTTGGATTCACCCCACCATGCCAGCTTTATGTCAGTTACAAATTAGAAAGATATTTTTATTGATGTTTGACCAATTCCTTATTATGAACCATGCAGAAAGCCTCCTCTCCAGATGAGCATCTATTCTCGGATGCAGCATCATCCAGCAACAATGACAGAATAGCTGTTCACTTGTCTGCCTCACTATTAGATTGAAATCTCACTGTCCGTGTTAAATACTAGTCACTTAATAAATATTTGTTTAATTTAATTGAATAATTTCCCTTTCAAATGTCAGCCTAGAGCTTTGTTGATGTCCCTTGATAAAAATCCCACTCTTTAGCTATCTTAAGCCATGGAAACAAAACAAAACAAAACAAAACAAAACAAAAAACACCATTCAATGACACTTTCTGTACAGCTAACAATTCACTTCCTAATATATCCTCCTTCATCTTTCAAGTTCTCAAAAAAAAATCGCTTACATTTTTTCAGGCTTTTTTATGTGCCAGGATTTATGCTAAGCATTTTATGTAAATTAACTCATTTCATCCTTACATCAAACCTGTAAGTTCCATTTTTATTTTCATTCTAGGTATGAGAAAACTGAGGCACAGGGAATTTAAGTAAATCATCCAGGGTCACATGGTCAATTGCTTAGTAGAGTCAGAATCTGAACCCAAGTCAGTTCCAAGCCAGAGTTAGAAAGCCTTTTATGAAGTTGTGACCATCCTCTTGAAAAGGAGAAAAACTCCTATTTGTGATACCCTACTGACAGCATCCATTTTCTTAGCTACATTCCAAAGATTTCTGCCAGTAACCGATGCCTTTCATTTAAAAGTGATCCACAGGGGAGTGGTTGCCTCAGGAAGAGGAGGGAATGAATTGAAACTGAGGTAGGAGGTAAGACTTTACTCCAAACTGGATTGAAGACTGGCTGAAACAGGGAGGAGGTGAAAGCACCTCTCCA